ACACTGCACTTACCCAAACATCCTTATATTTCACTTGGCATACTCAGCACTTTTAATCTGTACCTATTACACTTGGCCCGGCCTTAGTTTTACTATGCTATGGTATATTGTTTTTACTGTTTACTGTTTATTGCTTTAATATTTTGATTTGCTTTATGGTTTATGTGTATTATTATACTGTTGTTTTTTGAGGCCTTGGCCTTTGTAAGCCGCATCGAGTCCTTCGGGAGATGTTAGCGGGGTACAAATAAAGTTAATAATAATAATAATAATAATAATAATAATAATTATTATTATTATTATTATTATTATTGGGAAAAATTAGGGGAAAATCTTTGGGTGCTTCTTTCTGCCTCAACAGGGTGAACGGACTCTCTTTGGTGAGTCTGATTGGTCTCTGCCTCCTGGCAAAGAACCCCAGGAGGCAGGCATGTAGCCGGGAGGGGGGGGGCTCGGGGGGCTTCCGCCCCCCCCGAAATTCTCATGGTGGTTCGCGAAAAGGCCTTACTGGTGCATTATTTTAACTGTTATGTTTATTCATATCATGATCTGATCACCATACTCAATATATCCCATATGCATGGGGGTATTGGGGTAATGATACAAAAGGTTTGCTAGGGTAGACCCTCTATACTGACTCAGCCCCCTGAAACAAAATCAGCCCCCCCTCCCCTTCCTAAACGTAGAAGAACTGAAAACATATAGGCCTGTTTGATCAAGAAAAAAATTGTTTCTAAAATCGATTTGTAATTGGGGTGTTTTTTTGTTTCGATATTTAAAATAATTACAAAACTTTCCAAAAAAAGTTTTGGTATTTAAGAAATTTTGTAAATATTAACGAATTTTTAGAATATTTTTGGTATTTCTTAAGAATAATATTAAAATAATATTAAAAAATATTTTAAAATGGAAAATTAACCAAAAAATGGCCCAAATGTGGACCAAACACAGGCAGGATACAGCAAATGAGAGCACACACCAACAGAAGAGTCTTTTCTTTTTAGAATATTTTTTAAGAATAATATTAAAAAATAATATTAAAAAATAATATTAAAATAATATTAAAAAATATTTTAAAATGGAAAATTAACCAAAAAATGGCCAAACACAGGCAGGATACAGCAAATGAGAGCACACACCAACAGAAGAGTCTTTTCTTTTTTAGAATATTTTTTAAGAATAATATTAAAAATAATATTAAAAAATAATATTAAAAATAATATTAAAAAATAATATTAAAATATTTTAAAATGGACAATTAACCAAAAAATGGCCCAAATGTGGACCAAACACAGGCAAGAGACAGCAAATGAAGCAAGCAGCACTCACAGCAGCAAGGAATGAATCCAATCCCAGTTGCTAGCAGGCAGCCATTGCCAAGCCAACCCAATGCAAACTCCCTCGCCCTCTGCAGCAAGCTACGGGCCGCGCGGAGCCGCTTTGAAAGGGCTCGCCGGCCAATCAAAAACAAACAGCCACGGACCCACGGTGCACTGCTTGGGAGCGCCGGATTGGCTCCCAGGCACCAGCACTCCAGCAGCCTCCACCCCATTAACGAAACGAGCGGAAGCTCGTTAAATCTATGGGGGTTGCTGGTTCGATATTTTAAAACCCTTCCGGGTTTGGAAATATGTTTCGATATCGCTTCGGAAATGGTAAAATTAACGAATTATTAACGAATTAACGAATTAACGAACGAAACCGCACAGGCCTACTGGCTACGGGCCTGCCAGGAGGCAGTTCTGGGGTAATAATAATAATAATAATATAATTATTATTGGGAAAAATTAGGGAAAATTCTTTGGGTGCTTCTTTCTGTCTCGCCAGGGTGAACGGACTCTCTTTGGTGGGTCTGATTGGTCTCTGCCGCCTGGCAAAGAACCCCAAATTCTTTCTCGATACCACTACTATTCTCATGATTCCATAGCATTGTGACATGGCAGTTGCAGTGGTGTCAAACTGCATGAATGTTACAGCATGGATGCACCCAGCCTTGAGTTAGAATGAAGCAGTAAGAAGGCCTTAATTCTTTTCCTGTTTGAATAGTTTCATTATTAATGGTTAAGAACAGACATGTGCGGCAACTTGAGAACTATATATTGAGAAGTTTTGTTTGTAAATTACATTCTACTAAGGCTATCATGACTGAAGCATGTGGCACTGGATGAAGAGAGGTGGGATGGAAGACATGCACAAAATCACGTCTTCTTTCTCTTCTCTCTTTAGAATGGAAGTTGGTCCTGTTTGCTTCACGTTTTGTGGTTTCTGTGGTCATCTGGATTGCTCAAAGACAAACAAATCAATTGCAGATGCTGCTTCTTAAGGGAAAATAAGCTCTCTCCACCCACCCCAAGCCATCTGGTGCCTGCTGCTTCAAAACGAAGCCACTCATCCTTCCAGCTTTTCCTGGGAATGTTTGTCTCTTGGCCTTGGGGCTCTCGGTAGCTCTTGACCTGTCTTACAGTGAGTAATGAAGACCTTACAACCTCCATGCTACAATAAATGGAAATGGAAAAAAGACGTGGAAGGAACATTAGAACATCTGGCCTCTAGCCTAAATTTCAGAAAAATGTCCCTTAAATTATTTTCTGATTCAGACCTGTTAGAATCAGAGTTGGAAGAGACCTCATGGGCCATCCAGTCCAACCCCCTGCCAAGAAGCAGGAAAATTGCATTCAAAGCACCCCCAATAGATGGCCATCCAGCCTCTGTTTAAAAGCTTCCAAAGAAGGAGCCTCTACCACACTCCGGGGCAGAGAGTTCCACTGCTGAACGGCTCTCAGAGTCAGGAAGTTCTTCCTCATGTTCAGATGGAATCTCCTTTCTTGTAGTTTGAAGCCATTGTGTCCTAGTCTCCAGGGCAGCAGAAAACAAGCTTGCTCCCTCCTCCCTATGCCTTCCTCTACATGGCTATCATGTCTCCTCTCAGCCTTCTCTTCTTCAGGCTAAACATGCCCAACTCTTTAAGCCGCTCCTCATAGGGCTTGTTTTCCAGACCTTTGATCATTTTAGTCGCCCTCATCTGGAGAGATTCCAGCTTGTCAATATCTCTCTGCTGTTGAATTAGTCCTCTCCATACTAGTTGTCTCACAAGCAAGGTTTTGTTATGGCTACATCCCAGAATGGTTTCCCCACCTCCTTTTCTGGGAGAGTGAGCAAAGTGGAGGTTATTTTGGACAATCAAAAGCAGAATGGCAAGTTGCAAAATAAATCATCAAGTTGGAAGAGACACCAAGGGCCATTCAGTCTGCCTTGCATAGTGACAGCAATCCCAAGAGATGGACATCCAGCCTCTCTTTAAAAACCTCCAAAGAAAGAAACCACCAGACTCCAAAAAAGTGTATTCCACTGTAAAACAGTTTTTACTGTCAAGATTATTTTCCTCTAATATTTAAGTGGAATCTTTTTTCCTACCGTCTGAATCTATTGTTTGCATCCAAGGGCCCTTCCACACAGCCATATCATGGCAGATAATCCCACAGTATCTGCTTTGAACTGGGCTGACTCCACACTGCCATATATTCCTATTCAAAGCAGATAATGTGGGATTTATACAGCTGTGTCAAAGGAGCCCTAGGGCGGATCCAGACAGCCCTTTATCCCAGGAATTCGCATTTAAAAAACACGGATGTTCCTGGGTCCTGTCTACACCCACCCCAGAAAGTGCGTGCTTTTTGGGTTGGGTGTCCAGATGTTCTGCCGGGACTAGCCTTGCTCTCCTTGCGTGTCATTACTACTTTTGAAATTTCATTATTATTTTGTTATTGGCAATTTTTATGACAGAACCAATTAGGAACTGCCATTTATAATGAAATTTCAAAAGTTTTGTTTGTGTTCTGTCACGCACTGGGTCTGAACAAATTGTCTTTATTCTATAGGACGTATACTTTAAACCCAGTGGGAAGCCGGAGTGCCTCAAAGAGAGATTCTTAGGGATTTCCTGAAGTGATGGTCTTTAGAGTCTTTAATGGTACAACAAAGTCTTTATTAAGGAACAAATAATGAATCTTCAAACAACACTTCAAGGCTTTCTTATTCTCGTCTTTAAGAGACTGGCACTGACTTGGATTAACTGTACTCTCTCAGCATGAGGAAGAACCCTTTATAATCTCTCCCAGGCTGTCTATCATCTGGGCCCCGGTGGTCTGGGTCTTACTACCGATCCCAAATGCATCTGGACATCGAGTAAACCTACCAGCCAAGGCTTGAAGATATTCCAGCTGGAATTCCGTGGTGCTGTAATGCTGTCCTGTGGGAACTTCAGGGCTGTTTTCCCCTCTGGTGCTGTGAGGCTGAGAGGCTGTGAGCTCTCAGCCAGAGCCTTTGGGATCTTTTCCTTCTGTTTCTATTTCCCTGAATGATCCCCAGATGATCACCGGATGGTCCCCGGATGATCTTGAGGAATGAAGCTTTTACTACGGGACGAGCTGGTCTGCATCCTATAGACTAGCTTCCTTGTGTGTGACTGACTGAAAATGCCTCCCTTCCCTTTTCAAAACCCAAAAGGGGGCGGAACTAAGGAACCTAATGATGACAGACAGGTGGCCTGCCCTATAACTGCAAACTTTAACAGGAAGCCACCCTGCTGCAGAATCCCAAGCCTTGGACTGCAAGCAAACATTTAATACAAGGCAAATAAAGTGGGAGCTTCTGGTACAGCTGTACCAGCACAGTTTGAGTTCTGAAATTTCCACCACCAGAACTTTAGCAACACTGTAGAAGCAAATCACCAGCGCCCGCTAGATTTCACCACCAGAACTTTAGTTTTGTAAGTACTTTAGAACCATTTAGATCCATGGATTGCCTTCAATCATAGTGCAGCCTTCACCACCCCATGTCCCTCTAGACTACCAACATACTCTACTCCCAGACATAATGGGATTGTCAGTTGTAGGGAGAATTTGGTTGTGGAGGGGAGAGAGAAACCTTCCTTACCATTTTTGCAAATGTGTGCCAGTTCTCAAACATAGATAAAGGAAAAAAAATGCACAGAAGCCTGATTTAGAAGTGAACATTTTAATACATACAAATCTCAATTCAAGGGGAGAATTACACTTTTTTAAAAAGCCTCAAAAATTAGTGTTTCCACAGGCAAAATTCTGCTGGGTTAAATATAGCAGGGGCAAATGCCTTAACATCATACCATTTGTTTTGTGCAATGGGTGGGTGGGGGAGTTGGAGATAGAAAGGGGAGGGAGGGGGGAAGGAAGGAGGGAAGGAAGAGGAAGGAAGGAGGGACACAATATGGTGGCGGTGATGAACACTTTTATTGATGTTCCTCCCACCCCTCATGCTGTTGCTACCTCCAAACACCCTCCATGATTTCCAGGGGCAAAGAATAGACTAATACATCATCAAGTTTGTCTTTCAGATACATACTATTAACAACATTTTGCTTTGATACTAGCAAGTGGTATGCTCTCTTTTAAGGTTATGCCATGGACTCCCAGTTGGTACCCACAGGTCACCTTCCTATGTCTCATACTGTACTTCAAAAGCCTACACAGTCACAGAACAGAAGGCCTGTTCCCAAATGTCACCCCACTCATAATGTGGACGAAACAATGGGACATAGCAGATGTTGTTATTGGAGCACATCTGGAAGTGGTGTGATCGACTTGTCTCTAGTTAAATATAAACCCAAAGAATCTGAAAGTAGATACAGTCAGCCCTCCACATTAGCTGGGATTAGGGGCATATCACCCCCACAACCGTGGAAAACCCACAAATAAAACAATTTATTGTCGAAGGCTTTCATGACGGGGATCACTGGGTTGTTGTAGGTTTTTTCGGGCTATATGGCCATGTTCTAGAGGCATTTTCTCCTGACGTTTCGCCTGCATCTATGGCAAGCATCCTCAGAGGTAGTGAGGTCTTTTGGAATTAGGAAAATGGGTTTATATATCTGTGGAATGACCAGGGTGAGACAGGCAGAAATAGCAAGTCTATGTGTATTAAGATATGTAAATGATAATAATTTGTAAAAAAGGTAAAGGTAAAAGTAGTCCCCTGACATTAAGTCCAGTCATGTCTGACTCTGGGGTGTGGTGCTCATCTCCATTTCTAAGCCGAAGAGCCAGCGTTGTCCATAGACACCTCCAAGGTCATGTGGCCAGCATGACCGCATGGAGCGCCGTTACCTTCCCGCCGGAGTGGTACCTATTGATCTACTCACATTTGCATGTTTTCGAACTGCTAGGTTGGCAGAAGCTAGGGCTGACAACGGAAGCTCACGCCGCTCCCTGGAATCGAACCTGCGACCTTTTGGTCAACAAGCTCAGCAGCTCAGTGCTTTAACCCACTGCGCCACCGTACTTAATGTCAAAATTAACTGATTGATTGAATAAAGTAGATAGGCATGTCAAAAATATTGGTACCTGATTATATCTACAATAATATAGATGGGTTCCTGAATGAAATATATATAACAAAAATACCACTTGTATAACATAAACAATGATATAATTCAACAACAGTATATAAACATGCTGCACTGTTAACCTCACAGCGACAACAAACTCTACTTAGAACAGAGTATCATATACCAACAAAAAATTTGTATCTCCCGAGGAGAACACTTTCAAGTGTATAATTTTTCCACCAGAGGAAGGCCTGAGGTAGGCCGAAACCGGTCGTGGTCGGCTGATCCACAAGCTACTTATAAGAAGATACGACTGTACTAAAAGTTTGCACCATATTGTTTGTTGTCGCTTATGTTATACAAGTGGTATTTTTGTTATATATACCTGATTATATCTGTCATGATTTGCTTTTCTGTTATGTACCATAATCAAAATAAACAGTTTTAACAAAAAAAGAAGAAAAAAGAAAAAGAAAAAGAAAAGAAAATGGGTTTATATATCTGTGGAATGACCAGGGTGGGACAAAGAACTCTTGTCTGCTGGAGCTAGGTGTGAATGTTTTAACTGACCACCTTGATTAGCATTTGATGGCCTGGCAGTGCCTGGGGCAATCTTTTGTTGAGAGGTGATCAGGGACAACCCTGGTCATTCCACAGATATATAAACCCATTTTCCTAGTTCCAAAAGACCTCACTACCTCTGAGGATGCTTGCCATAGATGCAGGCGAAACGTCAGGAGAGAATGCCTCTAGAATATAGCCCGAAAAAACCTACACCAGTTACCTAATAAAACAATTATTTGCCTGAGAGAAAATACCTAGATACTCTAGTGCAGGGGTCCTCAAACTGTTGGAGGGCCGGATTATAATTTGAAAAAAACATGAATGAATTCCTATGCATACGACATATATCTTATTTATAGTGCAAAAAACACTTACAAACATTACAATAATTAAAATGAAGAACAATTTTCACAAATATAAACTTATTAGTACTTCAATGGGAAGTGTGGGCCTGCTTTTGGCTGACGAGATAGGATTGTTGTTGTTTTGTGCTTTCAAGCCATTTCAGACTTAGGTTGACCCTGAGCGAGGGCCAGGCAAATGACCTCGAAGGGCCGTACTCGGCCCCCGGGCCGTAGTTTGAGGATCCCTGCTCTAGTGCCATTCTGTCAATAACTTTGGCCACAAGCTGACCATAGAACAACTCTGGAGGACCTAAAATGTCTAGAGAAGTCAAAGAAGCATAGAATTTGAAGAAATCACATGGCCATCCAGGAAAAACACCATCAAAACACCTCTGTCAATTGGCCATCCAGCCTCTAAAAGTCTCCAAAGATGGAGACTTTTAGGTCCTTGGGTGCCACTCTATGGACAAAATTTGCATAGAGTCTTGCTGAGCAACCTAGAGATTGTCCAAGGCTTTCATGGCTGGAATGTCTGGTTGCTCCTGACACGATAAATAAAAAAAAATGGCTGGAATCACTGGGTTGTTGTAGGTTTTTTCGGGCTATATGGCAATGTTCTAGAGGCATTCCCTCCTGACGTTTCGCCTGCATATGGCAAGCATCCTCAGATGTAGTGAGGGTTACTTAGATGAAAGGCTAGAAGGCATGATCATCAAGTTTGCAGATGACACCAAATTGGGAGGGACAGCCAATACTCCAGAGGACAGGAGCAGGATTCAAAACGATTAGAGAGATGATTGGCCAAAACTAACAAAATGAAGTTCAACAGTGACAAATGCAAGATACTCCACTTTGGCAGGAAAAACGAAATGCAAAGATACAGAATGGGGGACAATGCCTGACTCGAGAGCAGTATGTGTGAAAAAGATCTTGGAGTCCTCGTGGACAACAAGTTAAACATGAGCCAACAATGTGATGTGGCGGCAAAAAAAGCCAATGGGATTTTGGCCTGCATCAATAGGAGCATAGTGTCTAGATCTAGGGAAGTCATGCTACCCCTCTATTCTGCTTTGGTTAGACCACACCTGGAATATTGTTTCCAATTCTGGGCATCACAATTCAAGATAATCACTGGGTTGTTGTAGGTTTTTTCGGGCTATATGGCCATGTTCTAGAGGCATTGTCTCCTGACGTTTCGCCTGCATCTATGGCAAGCATCCTCAGAGGTGCTTGCCATAGATGCAGGCGAAACGTCAGGAGAAATGCCTCTAGAACATGGCTCTATAGCCTGAAAAAACCCACAAGAACCTATTGTGTCCAATTCTGGGCACCACAATTCAACAGAGATATTGACAAGTTGGAATGTGTCCAGAGGAGGGCGACTAAAATGATCAAGGGTCTGGAGAACAAGCCCTATGAGGAGCGGCTTAAGGAGCTGGGCATGTTTAGCCTGAAGAAGAGAAGGCTGAGAGGAGATATGATAGCCATGTATAAATATGTGAGAGGAAGCCACAGGGAGGAAGGAGCAAGCTTGTTTTCTGCTTCCCTGGAGACTAGGACACGGAACAATGGCTTCAAACTACAAGAGAGGAGATTCCATCTGAACATGAGGAAGAACTTCCTGATTGTGAGAGCCGTTCAGCAGTGGAACTCTCTGCCCCAGAGTGTGGTGGAGGCTCCTTCTCTGGAAGCTTTTAAACAGAGGCTGGATGGCCAACTGTCAGGGGTGATTTGAAGGCAATATTCCTGCTTCTTGGCAGGGGGTTGGACTGGATGGCCCATGAGGTCTCTTCCAACTCTAGGATTCTATGATTCTATGCATGCCATAGATGCAGGTGAAACGTCAGTTAGAACAGGGGTAGGGAACCTTTGGCCCTCCAGCTGTGGTGGACTTCAACTCCCACAATTCCTTGAGGCTCGGCATTCGCCCCAAAGGCTTACCTTGGCCCAATGCCGAGCCTCAAGGAATTGTGGGAGTTGAAGTCCACCACAGCTGGAGGGCCAAAGGTTCCCTACCCCTGCTCTAGAACATGGCCACACAGCCCGAAAAAACCTACAACAACCCAGACCTAGACATTCTTAGTGAGAAAATATGAGTCAAATTGGTGAATAATCAAAATTTGCTAAAGTCAAACCCACATATGTGGAGGACCAACTATATAAATATATACAAAATAAGTAACAATACTTCCCGATTATGCCGCTGGAAGCTCCTTTTGAAATTTTAAAATTAAACTTGAAATAAAAATGAACATATTGGCTATTTTCAATCCACTTTTCTCCCCAAGAGAAGCCAAGGATTTTTTCCCCTCTGGTTACATCACAGAGGAAAAGAGTATAAGCAATACAAAATTCAGACATATTGAAGTGAGAGCTGCAGGGGTTATATATCATGGCATCACAACATGTGGGCAAAAATATGACGGCCATGTCCCATTGTTGCTGTGGGAGGGCAATGTTCTTTGTGCATCCACACGAAATATGCATACTGATGCACACGCAAACAGGCCCAGGCACCAACCAAAATGCACATGTCACCGGCTCTGATTGTACGCCTATGCCAAGTCAGACAAGCAAAACGAGAAGTCAACAACACCTTATAGACAGAGAACGCCACTTAACTCACACTGGCACACTGCATCTGAATCTTGCTTGCACATACACACACACCACTTCAATGCAATTACAAACATCACACTCATCTGCACAACGCATGAAGTCAACGCTTCAAGGCTCTGGTCCTATACTGACTTGGAAAAGCCGCATGGAATTAAATGGGCTTCCTTCCGGATGGGGATGTGCAGGATTTTGCTTGTACACACAGTGCACATTTATAGGATTTCATTCTAAGCAAACTTGCACATGTAAAACTTTCCTTCATGGTCTCCTTAGCTGCTTGTGCGAAACTACGGCGGAACGGGGGGATGGGACACTCTTTTGTTGAATGCCCATGCTCTGAAAAAGTTTGATTTTTCAGATATTTTGGACTTCATCTCTGAGAAGTCATAGTCAGCAGAGCCAAAAATATCTAGGAGGTCAAATGTTTCCCATTCCATGCACTGCTCTTTATAACCAAACTTTATCACATACCAGATGTTTGCATGCTTCAGCGTTCAAGAATCTGAAACAGTAGGAAAGGTACTACTATGCAGAGCCCAGAGAGAGGCCCTACTCACGATCCCACCTGTGTCGCAGGCGAGATTGGTGGGGACGAGGGATAGGGCCTTCTCCGTGGTGGCCCCCGACTCTGGAACTCTCTCCCCAAGAACATCAGACAAGCCCCAACATTGGCAATCTTTAGGAGGAGCTTGAAGACGTGGTTGCTCCAGTGTGCCTTCCCAGAATAGGAAACTCGAAGCATCATGTCCCTAAATGCACTTTACTAGAGATTTAAGATTGTCTGCACATTGCACCTATCTCCAAAAAACTTATCTATTTCACCTGCCATGCCCAGCATTTTAAATTTTTTAATCATTACATTGGTCCGGCCTTAGTTTTTAAATGTGTCGTGGTATTATTGTCTAATGTTATTTGCTATTGTTTTAAGGTTTATTGCTGTTTTATGAGTTTTTTGTTGTATTTGTGATGCTGTTGTTTTTGTGATGTTTGGGCCTCGGCCTCTTGTAAGCCGCACTGAGTCCTTCGGGAGATGTTAGTGGGGTATAAATAAAGGTTTATTATTTTATTATTATTGTGGAACCTGGTGCACGTAAGGACATATGAGAGCTGCTGTCTATGCACAGGAATGCTCTGACAATCTATCTGAATATACAGTATGACCACTGTATTCATGGGGGAGGGGCTATTTTCTAAGACTCCACCCCTGGATAACTGACACTGTGGATAATAGTAAACCTAACCCTATTTGTTGACTATATTGGGTTGGAAGAATATCGTATAATTAGCTGTCCCCTGCCACGCGTTGCTGTGGCCCAGTCTGTATATATGTGTTTTATTTGTGTATAAGTGTATATATATGGTTTTGTGCATGCACTGCCATTTATTTTTTTGTTTTTTGGCTTTTAAAGTCTCTTCTGCTGGGTTTTTCAGTGTTTTTATGAGTGATGGTCACTCATTGGCCTGATAGGTGTATGGTGTCCGAATTTGGTGTTAGTTTGTCCAGTGGTTTTCGAGTTAATGTTACTCCCACAAATGAACATTACATTTTGATTTATATAGAATGCCCTGGAAGACCTATACAGGCTCACAAACATTTGGGGGTGGGGAGGAGAGATGGTTTTGGAGCATGGGTAAGTGAAACTGTGGATATTGAGTTGGTGGATAAGGAGGCCACATAGTGTAAAAAAAGAAAAGAAGTCCTACTCAATGTTTTTGCTATTCTGATACACATGTTCTTGAACTCAAATAGCCCTGGTTCAAATTCAAATTGAGGACCCTTGACCAGCAGTACTGCAGAATTTGAAGAGGCACGAATGGAGGTTGAGAAACATGCCAAGAGAAAGGCGCGTCAAGCCAACCCTGACCGAGACCGCCTTCCACCTGGAAACCAATGCCCTCACTGCGGAAGAAGATGCAGATCAAGAATAGGGCTCCACAGTCACCTATGGACCCACCAGAATATTGATCCTGGAAGACTATCCTACTCGACCAGCGAGGGATCGCCTAAGTAAGTAAGTAAAGTAAGTAGGTAAGTAAGTAATGCTTTCAAATCTCCAGTCGGTTTAAGACAACCCATTAATTTCATAGGGTTTTCTTAGGTAAGGAATACTAAGATGTTTACAATTTATTCCCCTCTGAAGTATAGGCAACAGCACCCAACATTTCTTGGTGGTCTTCAGTTCAAGTATGAATGAGGACCAAACTCCTGAGCTACTAGACCAGGGTCCTCAAACTTTTAAAACAGAGGGCCAAGTCACAGTCCCTCAAACTGTTGGAGGGCCGGATTATAATTTTTTTAAAAAAATGAATGAATTCCTATGCACACTGCACATATCTTATTTGTTGTGCAAAAAACGCATGAAAACAATACAATGATTAAAATGAAGAACAATTTTAACAAATATAAACTTAATATTCCAATAGGAAGTGTGGACCTGATTTTGGCTGATGAGATAGGGTTGTTGTTGTTGTTGTTGTTGTTGTGTGCTTTCAAGTCATTTCAGACTTAGGTTGACCCTGAGCGAGGGCCGGGTAGATGACCTTGGAGGGCCGTATCCGGCCCCTGGGCCTTAGTTTGAGGACCCCTGCACTAGGCATTGTGCACTCTTCCATCTTTTCCTCTTTGGTAGATTTGTGTGTGTGTGGACATGTGGAGGGAAACAAAAAGCAATATAGGTGCCGGGGGCGGGGGGGGGGGGGCTCACCCAGAAGTTACCCACAACACAGTGGCCAGAGCAAGATCACTATTACTGTACCTCCCATCACTGTGACACAGCAAGATGTATTAGCCTACACAAAGTCACAGCAGTTACATTTTTTACTAAAGTTTTATGGTACGAGGGGTATTTTTAAATTAAGGTTCGTTTTGTTGTAGACACTAGTAGTTCGCGCGCATACCGCAACGAGCGCGTGTGTCGTGTACCGGCATGCCTCAGGAACAACTGTGCTCAGTTTCCGCTCTGTAGCTAATCTGTACGGTTCTGTTCTGTTCTTTAAAAATGTTTAAGACTATCAACTCACCCTCCGCATGTGAGGTTCGCTCAGTGATACGGTTTTTGTCAGCAAGGAACCTGCCTGCTGCAGAAATTCATCGACAGATTTGTGAAGTGTACGGTGATACTGTTATGAGTGAAAGCAAAGTGCGTAAGTGGGTACGACAATTCAAGGATGGCTGTGACAACGTCCATGATGAGGACCGCTCCAGTCGCCCTTCTTTGATTACAGACAATTTGGTGGCTTCAGTTGAAGCGAGGATTCGTGAAGAGGGTATTTTAAAATTGGTTCAGAGGTATGATAAGTGTTTGAACAAACTTGGCAACTATGTCGAAAAATAGAGTGAAGTATGTACTTTCTGAAAATAAATTTACTTTTTTGAAATAAACTTTCGTTGTGTACTTATGTTCCAACGGACCTTACTTAAAAAATACCCCTCATATTTCCAGGACTCTTTTGCCGTGCTGAAGCTCATGTTCTTTCTCCCATAAGACCCCAAATTCACCTTCTCCAAGCAGCCACTCTTGGCCATGTTGGACTATAACTTGCCTCTCCTTTATAAAAGGAACAACTGGCCTGATTTTTCCTCCCATGCTGTAATTGAAATGTGCAGAAAGCCTGAAAAACCAGTTTGATCGAGCCCGGAGCAGGAAACAAATATGGTGAACACATTTGCATCTTTGCACTGCATGCAGCCCTGGAGCTAACAAACTGTCCTTGTTGCTTTAAAATGTCAGTCTTCATTTTCAAGACAACCCCCCCCCCCCCCCCCCCCCCCCAAAAAAAAACCTGCTAAGGACAAATCAGGAAAAGATGACAGTGACTGGTTACTGCTTCATAGGAAAGAAGAAAAGAACGTTTTTGGAAGAAAGGAAAGATGAAAGCATGTTTCTGAGGGTCAAACTAGATAACATGTTTGTTGTCGCAAGTACTTTTCCTCATCTGCATACCTTGCATTTCTTGAGCTTTGCTTTGTTAATGATTGCTGACACATAAAACTAAGTTGAATTGATAAGTCTGATGGCCCAAACGGATTATCTCTGAGGAAATCCCACCACAGGGAAGAAAAGTTTTCCTTAAGAGGGAGTGCCCATCCTACTTAAGGTCTAGTTTGACCCTCAGCTATAGGACAGACAAAAATACGGATGTTCAGAGTGACAAAGCCCCTGCTAGAACAGAGAAATCGTACCATATTGATAGCTTTACAGCAACCCCACACTTTAAGTCAGTCAGCCCATTAGTCAGTCATTCAGTCACTTCTCTCTCTCACACACACACGTCAAACAGAAAGTTATAATACTGTGCAGGTCTAGTGAACACATGGACATCTCCATTTCAGTCCACGCTTGGTGTATCTGATCACCAAGATGTTCTTTTCACACACCTTGTACCACATTGCCTTTGTACCGCCTTCTCTGGGGTCTATTTCACCCCACTGCTTTCCTTCTTCCTACTATGTAGTCCCCTCCCTTGTGTCTTTTCACACAAACGTGGAATGCTCCTTCATGAAAGGTGAAGTGGGGAGGTCCTGTTTTTGTGTGCAGCGGTCCAAGGAGCTGGAGCTGCGGAGAGGGATCATGCAACGCTCGGAGGGCTTCCCTTGCCCCATCATCCCCCAGCAGCAGAGCACTCGCAGGAACTCCTTCCTCATGTCCTTGCTGCGGAGGGTGTAGATGAGTGGGTTGATGGCTGAATTGAGGGTAGCAAAGGCAAAGAAGTATTTCGCCTTGTAAAGGATGGGGCATGACTTCGTGGCGCAAGAGACGTCCACCAAGAGAATGATGAAGGCTGGCAACCAGCAGATGATGAAAGCTCCCAGGACAAAGGTGACAGTCCTGAGCAAGGACACTGTTTGGGAGCCGGCCATCTCAGCATGGCTGGAACGGACAATGCGGTAGATCCGGACGTAGAGGATCACAATGGAGAAAAGGATGATGGTGAAGATCAAGACCACAAAGAGGATGTACTGTTTGGAGTAAAGAGGGAGGACAGTGGAGCATTTTTCCAGATCAGCCATGCAGTTCCAACCAAGGATGGGTAGCCCACCGATGGCAGCGGAGATGACCCAACAGGCCCCAATTAGGAACACCATCCGGCAATTCTTGTCACTGCTATAGACCTTCACCTTGGTGATGGCCACATGTCGCTCTATGGCAATGGCCAACAAGCTGAAGACTGAGGCAGCCAGTGTAGCAAAGGCAGTGCCCTCCCGCACAAACCACTGGACTGGGGTGAGGTGGAAGGTGGCTGGGCCTGAAAGGACAACGTTGGCAATGAAGGCCGAGCCTGCCAACAGGTCCGAAAAGGCCAGGTTGCCAATGAAGATGAACATTGCAGAGTGGAACTTCTTGTTCCTCCAGACAGAGATAAGCACCAGCAGGTTCTCCAAGATGATGAAGCAGCAAAGTACAATAATGGCAACAGCGGTACTGGGGAGGGAAGGGGACTCATCATTCTCCAGCTTATCCTTGGTGTAGTTGTAGTGCTCAAAGATCTTCGACGTGTCGAAGTAGAACTGGTAGATACTCCCCATGGCTTGGTCACACTTCCCCAGCACTGGTTACAGCGAGGGCCCGTGAGGATGCCTGTGTTAGGATCCCATCGGATTTTCAGTCATTTGGTGCAATCAAGAGGGACAGCAGGGCAACTTAGTGGAATCTGGAGACGGTAAAGAAGACACAAAAATACAGGTTAGAACAGGGATCCTCAAACTACAGCCCGAGGGCTGGATACGGCCCCCCAAGGTCATTTACCCGACCCTTGCTCATGGTCAACCTAAGTCTGAAACGACTTGAAAGCACACAACAACAACAACAACAACAACAACAATCCTATCTCAGCAGCCAAAAGCAGGCCCCCACTTCCCACTGAAATACTAATAAGCTTATATTTGTTAAAATTGTTCTTCATTTTAATTATTGTATTGTTTTAAGTGTTTTTGCACTACAAATGTTTTTTGCACTACAAGTAAGATATGTGTGGTGTGCATAGGAATTCATTCATGTTTTTTTTAAAATTATAATCCGGCCCTCCAACAGTTTGAGGGATTGTGACCTGGCCCTCTGTTTAAAAAGTTTGAGGACCCCTGATCTAGTTTGTAAACGCTTGTTCAGAAAGCGTCTTGACTTTTTTCTGGAATGTTAAATACAATCTTTGATTGTATGTAACATCCCAGTAACTACAACTCGCATATGTCAAGGTCTATTTTCCCCCAAGAGCGCCCCTGGGCAAAATCAACTATACTGCAAATGCTTACTTTGCGTAATGGGTTGAGCCCCCCCTGATCTGGACCAAACTCTACACAAATACTCAATATGCCCAAATGTGAACACTGGTGGAGTTTGGGGAAACTAGAATCTTGACATTTTGGAGTTGTAGTTGCTGGGATTTATAGTTCAACTACAATCACAGAGCATTTTGAACCCCACCAACAAAAGAATTGGGCCAAACCTCTCACACAGAACACCCACATGGGCCACAGCAACGCATGGCAGGGGACGGCTAGTAAATAATAACTAAATAGGTGATTCTGGGAGGTATACATTTTTCCTAGGTTTTACTGACCAAGTGGTTATTCAGCTCCCTCTTTTAGGGTTTTTATCCTCATAGAGGAGAAATATCTGAATGCTAATCAGATCTGAATTGATTATAAACCTTTAAGAAATTTTTGACTCTAATGCAGCTCAACACAATTTAAATTGGTATGGATCAATGCTATGAAATAATGAGAGGTTTAGTTTTGCAAGTTCTTTAGTAATCTCTGCCAAAGAGCGCTGGTACAACTCCCAGGATTCTATAGCATCGCACCATGACTGTCAAACTTCATTAATTTGACAAGATGCACCCCCTATTTTGGAGGAGGGTCTTCAGAGGCACCAGATGAAGTTGGAAGCAGTTTCCTACTGTACATTATATTTACGCACATGAACAATTGCCAGTTTTCCATTGACTGGAAAGCCCCTGTGCCAGACACCCCTGACCACAAGAAGCCACACTGAGAGGTTGAGACACCTGGTAGCCATCTGGCATCCCATGAATCCACAGGGTCAAAGAACATTAACAATAATATTCAAAAGTAAAACAGGCATATATTCCATATAATCTAACAAAGACATATATATACACAAACATACATATACACACAAACAATTTAAAAGTGAGTTCCCAATTTCTTACCATTTGTTTAAGTGTGTTATTAAACTATTTTTCCAGATTAGCTGACATAAACAAAAAGCCCAACAAATATCTCACTTATACAGAAAATATAAAATAATAGATTTCAGCGTATAATTATATAAACTTGTTATACTGATCAAATTCACAGTAATCACAAGCAATATTATATGGTTTTTATTTATTATTTTACTAGTCGTCCCCTGCCACGCGTTGCTGTGGCCCACTCTGGTGATGTGGAAAATAAAGTAATTAGAAAGTGTTTTTTTCTAATATATGTAATTTCTTTCTGCTTGTGGGTAAACAGTATTTCTTGCTGTTTCTTTGTCAGTGTCGATGTGGAGATTGTTTGGTTTGCCTAGTCTGGAACATGCAACATATAATTGTCCTTCTTTAAGGGTCCCTTTCAAATCTATGATACTGTATCTGTGTGTGTGAATCATATCTATCTATCTATATCTATGGCTTGATGGCTCTTTGTCAGGAGGGCTTTGATTACGTTTTCTTGCCCTGGTGAAGGGAGTTGGACTGGATGGCTTTGAGTATTTTCTGTTGGTCATGGGGATTCTGTGTGGGAAGTTTGCCCCAATTCTGTCGATGGGTTTAAGAATGCTCTTTGATTGTAGGTGAACTATAAATCCCAGTAACTACAACTCCCAAATGTCAAGATCTATTTCCCCTAACCCCATCTGTGTTCATAGTTGGACACATGGAATATTCGTGCCAAGTTTGGTCCAGATCCATCATTGTTTGAGTACACAGCGTTCTCTGAATGTAGTGAACTACAACTCCCAAACTCAAGGTCAATGCCCAACAAACCCTTCTAGTGATTTCTGTTGGTCATGGGAGTCCTGTGTGCCACGTTTGGTTCAATTCCTTCACTGGTGGAGTTCAGAATGCTCTTTGATTGCAAGTAAACTATAAATCCCAGCAACTACAACTCCCAAATGACAAAATCAATTTTTGAGTGATGTTCACTCCTTGGGTTAGTAGGTGTCTTGTGGCCAAATTTGGCGGCAATTCGTCCAGTGGTTTTTGAGTTATGTTAATCCCACAAACGACCATTACATTTTTATTTATATAGATTTATAGATTTATTTACAGAATTTCTACCTCGCTCTTCTCACCCCTGGAGGGAGACTCAGAGCGGCTAACAATGGCAACGATTCGATGCCGCAATAATTACAATTATAAAAGGAAAATAAAATCATACAATAGAATACGTTAAAACAACATTAGTTATCCAATCATAAAGGCATTTCCATTATAACAATCGTCTGGTCCAATTTACTATTCAGGTGCCGTTATATCCATTAGCCAAAAGCCTGGTTCCACAACCACGTCTTCAGTTTTCTTCTGAAAGAAAGGAGGGAGGATGCCGATCTAATGTCGCTGGGGAACGAATTCCACAGGTGGGGGGTCACCACCGAGAAGGCCCTGTCCCTCGTCCCCACCAGCCGCGTTTGCGAAGCTGTTGGGACCAAGAGCAGGGCCTCCCCAGCAGATCTTAGACTACGAGGCGGAACATAGAGGGAGATACGTTCAGACAAGTAAGCTGGGCCAGAGACGTATAGGGCTTTATAGGCCAAGACCAGCACTTTGAATGGTGCTCGGAAATGGACTGGCATTTTTAAACCTTTTCAGAGTAATTGTAAAAAAAAAAACCCATATAATATTGCTTCTGATTATTGTGAATATACAACAAGTTTATATAATTATACGCTTAATTCTATTATTTTCTGTATAAGTGGGATATTTGTTGAGCTTACTAATTCAGGAACCCATTCTTATTGTGTAAACAAAAAGCCCCAATATGTATTACTACTGATTTTTTGTAATCACCAAGCACCACTTTTCAAACCAAATGTATTTTTTTCTCCAAGGTCCTGTAGGAATTGCCAAAAGGGCTGCCAGTCATCTATAAATCAATCCTTCTAATTTGTTTCTTATTATCAATTTCTGCATAAGAGTAACTCCATGGGACAGCTCTATTGCCTTTGGCAGAGTGGTAGTAGCTGGCAAGCTGTTGAATTTCTCTTGGGGAAAAGCAGTTCCCAACCAGATGAAATGCCAGCCTGTTAGCTCCAAACACAATAATATCAGGTGACACTTCATGGAAAATTTCCATGCAAACAGCCTAAACCCCCCACCATTTTGCCAATCTCTCTGCCATTGTGACGGAGTGACTGAGCGGGTGAGCAGTATAAACACACACTATACCCTCATAGATGGGTGAGCCCCAAATCGACAAGGAGTAGGGAGAAACATACAAAAGAAAGGAAAAGAACAAATGCAAAAATAAATTGGAACAGCTCACCAAACTCCACAACTCCATGATTCTATGAAAATTGTTGGCCCTATTCACAAACGATTACAATCTATCCCTTTAATTGTATGACTAAAGGTAAAGATTAGACCCTAAATGTTTGCTGATGTGGTGGCGAGGTCCCAAGATATATAATAAACAATAAAACTTTATTTATATGCCGCTCTGTCTTCCCGGGGGGACTCAGAGCGGTTTCCAAGTAACATTATCAATTCATACAAAAAATTCCGCAAAAAAGTGAAGACCTGGCTGTTTGAGCAGGCGTTCCAATAATTAGTGCAATGATTGGTTAATGAACACTGGAATGGAACAATGGATGACGAATCTGGAACGTGTTTTTGATGACGAGACGACAGTGAATGGGTATTGTAGTAACTGTTTATTAATTGTGTAATGTGTTAGGTTGTTAACTGTTCTATACTGTAGCACTGAATTTTTGCTGTTCGTATTTGTTGTGAACCGCTGTGAGTCGCCTTCGGGCTGAGAACAGCGGTATATAAGTAAGGTAAATAAAATAAATAAATAATAAATAAACATCATAAACATAAGAGTGACAAAACAATATAAGCATAAAAATCGTCACCATCTATATAAATAAAAATGTAATGTTCGTTTGTGGGATTAACAGAATTCAAAAACCACTGGACGAATTGACACCAAATTTGGACAGCGTAGAGACATCACACTGGCAACAAAGATCTGCATAGTCAAAGCCATGGTATTCCCTGTAGTAACCTACGGATGTGAAGGAAGATAGATGCTTTTGAACAGTGGTGTTGGAGGAAAGTGCTGAGAGTGCCTTGGACTGCGAGAAGATCCAACCAGTCCATCCTCCAGGAAATAAAGCCCGACTGCTCACTGGAGGGAAGGATACTAGAGACAAAGTTGAAGTACTTTGGCCACATCATGAGGAGACAGGAAAGCCTAGAGAAGACAATTATGCTGGGGAAAGTGGAAGGCCAAAGGAAGAGGGGCCGATAAGGGCAAGATGGATGGATGGCATCCTTGAAGTGACTGGATTGACCTTGAAGGAGCTGGGGGTGGTGACGGCCGACAGTGAGCTCTGGTGTGGGCTGGTCCATGAGGTCACAAAGAGTCGGAGACGACTGAACAAATGAACAACAACAAACACCTAACAACCTAATGTATGTCTTTCACT